TGGATTACTGGGTAATAAAACACATACAAGCGTTAGTTGGCGTCCTACACTAGCTGCGTAGAGCGTATCGTTTTTTTACGCTCTCAATGAGCGTTGTTGGCTCTCTTGTTCTATTTATACTCTTTGATCTCATTTAGACTAGGCTGGCCCTAGGTTTCATGACATAGGCACCTGCAACTACTTTATTACGAAACCTAGTTAGGCTTATACAGCAGTGATGGTGGCCTGAGCCTAGCGGGGAACAGGTCCAGGCGACTCAAGCCTTATATATCACATCATTCACAGACAGATCCAGCTTGCTCCCTGGAGAAGTCAATGCTGCCACCAGTCGCCGTGCTTGGGCATAGCCTAGAAATGACTGACCTGTTTACTAGGTAACAAACTATATTAAACAATGAATTCACCTTGTAATCCTAAAAGTAACAGTGGTACATTACGATCTGAGGTTTCAGCTACTACTTGTGCTGCAAGATCTTCCACACGTTTAATGTCAAATTGTTCATTTTTCGATCGCGATACGTTCATGTTTGATGTTTTCAAAATATGTATCATGATGTGAGCCCTCTACGTTTGTATGCTGAGGTAACAATTTTATATCGGATCTCTTGTAAGAACAACGTGGATCCAAAGTAAATTCTGCCAAGATGTCCAGGATTTTTTCATCATATCTAAGAAAGTTGCAAAGTTCAATACAGAATTTTGACCGGTGGCTACAATATGTTGTCTCTGGATATCCTCCATTTGGTAATAAAAATACTTGTTAAGATAGCTTGGACACATTGTTTAAAAACATCCCCTAGTCCTAGGTCCGAACCTAGGGAGGCCCACTTCTCTTCTCTAGGCTAGGGCCTACTGTACTATTACTACTAAAACTGCCCGACGAGACGCGGTCCAAGACTCGTCAGTTGAGCGTGTACCGAACGGCTCCCATATAAGCAGCAGTAGCCTAGTTACACCATGTTACTCTAACTAGGCCTAAACTAGACCTATTCCTCTGGTCAGAAATTAGAATAGGAAAACTTATCCAATAGAAATTGTTCAGATTACTTTTTTTTTTAAAGATGATCATCTATGCCAGACTGTAGTATAGGCCTATATCTATATATATGTATATAGGTTATAATGAGACCTGTGCACGGAATATAAATCCTCTGTGCAAACATTTGGCCTAGGAATCCATACGCTCGTTTCGGAAAATATAAGTCGATTCCGCCCATATTTGAGGAAAGTTAGGGTTTCACCTTTATATTGTATTACCTGTATGCATTTAATTACGATTCTGCGCACCTCTTAAATTTTCTAGTGATTTTTGAGCTGTTTTTTTTAGGTATCATTCATTGAAAAATTTTCATTATGGGGCCTATGTATTCAACGATACTTTACATTTACTTTCTTTGTGTATTGAATTGTAGGCCTGTAAACAAATAAACACTGACACTGTAATATTACATCTTGGTCAAAACTTGATATTATTCTTGCACACACCATGCCTGAAACTCTATGTGTAAGTTAACCAGAAAGTTAGGTACTACTGTACTATCCTGGTACGGCCATCATTCATTATTAACTTTTTTAAACAGTTTCCCTTCGTGAATGATAGATAATAATTATTCTGCTTTACTACCCTTTATATAATTTATTATTCAAAACAACAGTATACTAATTTTATATTTGGAATATATAATTAATAAATAAATAGTTGTTCAAGTTATGAAAGAATTTCTCCATTTCGAGATATAATTTTTATTAAATATTTAACAGCAAAGAGATATCGATTTTGTTTATCAATTTTCATTTACCTATGCTTCAATTGATTTTTGATGTGTCTAGGACCAAATTCATTCCAAAATCCAGTAATACTCTATATTCTAAGGTTAAAAACAAGAGTTTAACATACATAAACTGTCTTACCCATGGATAGGACTAATATCAGATTTGAACTTACAACCAATTTGTTGAAATTCTGTAACTCTACTGCTGTACCACATCCTTTATAAATATGCTTTATTTTTTCATGGATACACTTGATAGACCCAAGGGTGTTTTTCGTCAACCGTGCAAGGCTATATGTAAAGCAACAAAATATAAAAGTAAAAGAACAAAAAGATTATTAAAATTATAGTCTACTGTACGTGGATAGATTTACATTTAAATTATTAAATTACAAACATTGTTTTTTTTTTTTTTTTCAGGGGGTGTTCCAGCATTAACAACAGTGTCAAATTATCCTTCACAACCACTTACTACAGAGGGCAGTATATTTGACGGAATATTTTGGGCTGTTCCCAAAAAACGACGATCAATTCAAAGGAATCGCACTCGAAGGAGAGCAATTGAAAAAAGAGTCGTCGCGGTCACAGATATTATTCCATGTTCAGAATGTGGTCATCCAAAGAGAAAAGAGTACTTATGCAGGTACGATCATGTAATTATATTCCCTCTCTGTTGTTAAAGTAATTACACTGTTAATATAGTATCTATTTTGTGTGGTAATTTTGTTGTTGTGAGTGTATTTATTTTTTTAAATATATTTTTAAAGCATCAATCATTCCACTATATTAATTATGTATTTGTACACTTAGTAAATTAGATTTTTTGATAGGATATTTAATACCCCATTATTTTTTCCTACCCTCCTTAATGACCTTCCTAACACAGCAAAAGAAATCATCCATTATTTTTTAGTCCTACAAATACAAATCTTACATTCTCAGTTAGTCCTTTAGCTTTTCTCTGATCTTCCGTTGTTTCTGCCTTATACAAAGTTCTATATAGGCATATACTTATAAAAACTTATATATGTTTGATCTCTCTTGTATATTATTTTATTTCGTCTTTTTGGTTCCCATCTGGTTTATTATATATTTGCCTGTTCTATACGCACAGAATATTAATTTTTTAGCACCGATGAGGAGCTCCAGAAACACTTGGCTGATTGATTAATAGATCTTTTTCATATGGTCGGCCTTTAGGAGAAAAAATATTTTACTGCCTCTATTATACTGCCCTCATCGGAGCTTTCGAGATTACAAGAACTTGTTTTGCTTGGTGATGTTTGATTTTCATGTACAGTGTGTCATATTTGAGTTATTATTCCTATTCAACTAAATATATATTAGAATTGAATTTTGTGAGTTAATGTTTCTCAATCTGTAATTTTAAACTGATTCTTTTTTTTTTTTCTTTTTTTTTGGCAGCCATTGTTTGATAAGAATAAGAGAAGAGACCAGTGAAATCCAAAAGCAGATGTTTAAAGAATCAGAAGAAAGTGGAGATTTACCAGATAAAAAGATTGTTGTTCTGTATGAAGGAGAAGGAGAGGAGGAAACAGACAAAGGTGAAGCTGTTCGAGTTGTTGAGATGAAAAAACGTAGGCCGTCCTGGTTCCCTAAAGGTTTACTGAGCGCTAGTGGGAGGTAATGCTTTGAAGGAAGAGTTACAAAATATAACATAATTAAACCTGGTTCTTCCTGTTCTCCTTCCCAAAGCCCTATCCTGACTAAACAAGTTCTCGTAATCTCGAAAGCTCCGATGAGGGCAGTATGATAGAGGCAGTAGAGCTAAAAAAGATTTATTAATCAATCAACAATCAATCAATCAGCTGAGTGTTTCTAGATCTCCTCATGAAGGCAGTAGATCTAAAAAGGATCTATTAATCAACTATTAATCAGCCTCACGAGGGCAGTATAATAGAGGCAGTAGATCTAAAAGGGATCTATTAATCAATCAACTATTAATCAATCAGCCTCATGAGGGCAGTATAATAGAGGCAGTAGAGCTAAAAAAGATCTATTAATCAATCAACCGATTGCTAAAAACATCTCGATGCCTTAATATGGTCATGATGATCATGACTGGATATACAACAGTTTTTTGTCGAAGAAAATTTGATAGCCTGGGCAGAACTTATGGGTTGTGAAATGAGATTGAAATTCAATCCCCAGAACAACAAAAATACAGTAGTACTGTGTATTAACTTGTTCATTTTTATATGCCAGTAGTGGTTGATGAAATAAATACAGCAAAGTACACATCGTTTGCACTATTGAAATTTTGTATAAACATCAGTAAAGCTCAAAATATAATGACAATACTATATTAAATGTAATTTAATTTGAAAGCATAGTATTTCTTTATTTGAAATTTGATGTTCGGTGCCCATGGCTGCCGTGGTCTATATACTAACAGGTTTCAAACAAAGTGAAAGAAAATGAAGCCTGCAGGCCCAGCAAGCTGATTTTGCCTGCATCCGCCACCCACACTCAGTCTGCACTGCCCATGATTGGTAGCAATAATATCCAAAGGGCATGGGGCTTAGCAGAAAGGATTATGGGCTACAAGCCAATTTAAAGGTCTATGTAACAGAATATAAGAAATGATAATGGGTCGGTCTATTGGTGAATATGCTTTTATCTTTCTTTACTTAACCTTTATTACTTCATTCACTTATGAAGAAGTCATTTAATAGTTCTGCATATTCAATCCTTTGATATCTAAAATCATTTCATAATTTTTTTAGGCCTACATAATTAGTATTAGGCTGTTGTTTATAGTGTACATATCGTTCGCATTGGAATGAAATTTTAATTTGCATAATAATAATAATTTTATATACAAATGTACAACGTGAATTTTACATAGTACGGTACTCGCTATGGTCTGTATAACATGTATTACCAGGTGCGTTACCAATTTTTTTTCATATATGGTATCAGAAACTGGGCCTTCTATATGTAAAAAAATCATCTTCGCAGTGTGGATGGGTGTTGATCTGTCTGTCAATTGCAGTTGCACCCGTGTCCCAAATGGCACTTTCCCGAGTGTCATTCAGACTTAATAACTGACCAATCAGAACTAGGTCAGGAGTTACATCATACAAACACACATGTCCCACAAACGCACGTAATTACATACGTTTGCGCTATTGTGTTGCAGGACCTTAGCAGCAATACCTATCCCAAGAGGTGAGGCTTAGCGGAAAGGTAGGTTTGTCGCACGTCTGTGCTGTGTGCACGATGCTTCTTCACAATATGGATGGGCAACCATGGTTACAATTTTAACCATGCATTTTACATAGGATTAAATTGCACATGGCCATGGCACCATCAGTCCATTTATGGTGCAAGCTCGGTGTCACATGATTTCATCATGCATAGGCCTATATATACCATGTCTAAATTATAGTGATAAAATCGGTATTCTTTCTGTATATTTTGAGGGTTGGCAACAATCAGAATTCGTCCATAGCTGGACCACTGTGTCAGAAATGTCCGTGGTTGTCTACAAGAAGAAAGGCATTTGGTCTACTGTCTCCATTAACATTTGGCTTAGAGTTCCCGTTTGGAAGCAGTGCTGTTAAGTCCGACTCCATTGGTAAAAGGAATTGGCATTCAGCTTGTTCTGCCATGTCTGTGGTGTCATTAACCCCTGCAGTTGTTGTACTACCATTCTCAAAATCACTTGCGTCTTGGTGATGATTACTGAAAATTGAAAAACATATTTTATAGGCATTAAACATACAGTGCACCCTCCAATTCGAGACCCTTCCAATTCGAGACCCCTCTAATTCGAGACCACTTTTCCAAATTTTACTAGTTCTGTACAAAAATCTAATAGGGATAGGCCTGTACAAGGAGACTTTATTCATCCCATTACGAGAAAATTTCATAGCTGAATATAACAATGTGAATATAACAAAATGCATTAGACAGTTAACCAGTCCCCGACAGGGGGGAGGGGGAGGGGACTGATTTCCCCGACGAGAAAAAAGGTGGGCGTGGTCAGGCGTCGCTAAAAACCTTTCGAAAGTGGTCCAGGTGACGTAGCTTCCCGAAAATATGACAATTTAGGAGTTTCAAAGACTTATTTAATCGATTTCTATTAATATTGTACAAAATACATATAATTTTTTTTACTCCCCGACGAATTGTGGTTTCTCTCCCTGACGATCCCCTCCCCCTTCCGTAGCACCGCCACTGGATTGGAGGTTTAAATTATATTAAGCTGGTTTTCCACAAGGCGAATTTATTCTCACGAATCAAAGCGTCGGTTCGCTTCCAGAGGTCTGATTGGTTGCGCATTTGTTCGCTTTGTAAAAACTCCGATAGCAATGTGAACGCATGCGCATGAACCGACGCTTTCGATTCACACGAATAAATTCGCCTAGTGGAAAAAGTGACCGGTCTCTGACGTCACCGGATTACACTCGCATTGCGCCTGTAGAATGCTAGTCGAGCCTAGCGTTTCGAAAATGGCGGCTTCAAATAAGTTTAAATCTCATGAATACTAAATTCTGTATATGAAAATCGTCACTCACCGGCATATCGCGGCTTGTTTCTTGTAATAAACGTGCAACACTTTTGCTGTAATAAATACAACGGCAAAACATAGCAATATACTGCCAGTAATGATGCCTATATTCGTCCACGGAGAACCTGTAATTGAAAATATTTTCGAAGCTGTGTTAGTAACAATTTACTGGAAATAAAGACAACACTTTTATTTCTTTATTTTCAAAGTTTAGGCACTTGAGTCAATGATTGCCAATTGCAAACTTCGTAACTGTCTTCTGCCCTCCATTCGAGACTTATAATTCCGAGAACGGTTGGGTGAGCGTTCAGACTCCTTGTACAGAATACATGGTATAGAGGGCGTCCTTTGGGTTTACCAATGTACCATAACAACATTAACCGTCAATGGAACACAATACTTTTCTAATTGGAGACTAGACCATGGACCTGGTCCATGACTAGACCAAACCCGCTGAGTCATCCCAAAATTTCAGAACCCAAAGGTGGAAGTGAATAGTGGTTGTATCGACGATATGAGCTTTTGTATAGCGAATGTTAAGTTAATTTGTTTTTTGAGTTAATGCTTTGCAAACATTTTTATATTATAGAGGAAAGTTGCGGTACAGTTGGATGAATTGAAATAAGTTTAATTCGTTAGGTGGAATAAACTATGTAGGCATTCATTTTTACTTGCATATTTTCACTTACCGAGCCTTGTTGAAGAATTAGAATCAGTCCCATTGTCGCATCTATTACTTATCGTATCGTGATCACATCTATATGAAAATAACAGGATAGTTAATTGCGAAGTTCTGTTCTACTTATATGGTGTGATACCATTATAGTTTAATTAATAGTGTAGTATTATGGTAACCAGTTATGGGATTAATAATGATAACGATAAAGATGTGCTGAAAACAATGATGACTTAAAATACTGTAGTTAAGAAAATGATGATTATGATGGTCACGTTCATGTAAATATGATGGTGATGCTTCATAATAATGTACGGTATTGATGATGATGATAATAATGTTCCTTCTTTTCCGGTCATTTTTAAACAGTTTTCTTACAAACGTTTTTATGGAGTAAATTTCCCCACTTTTCAAATCCTGCCCGACCACTAGGAACGGTTGATATAGAAACCGGTAGATTTTCGCTTATTAAAAATACCAACGCGGGAAATTGCTTTGCTGTTGTTGAAGAATATCAAGGGCGGATCCAGTAGGGGGAAATTAGGGTGGGGTGCACGTTTTCCACCCCCTCCCCCCTCCCCCCCGTTTTGCAATTAAATTTAAAAAAAAATCAATGCAAATCAATGTTACCTATTCTGAAACTGTTGTGCTCCCCTCCCCCGTTTGAAAAATTCTGGATCCGCCCCCTGAATATTTCCTCCTAGGGCCTGTATATAATAAATGTGGGCCTATATTCAATTAGGCCTATGTTAAATCTTTATAACAATAATTTTAGAAGTTGTTGAATTTGTTTTTTTAATTTTTTTTTCTTTTTTTTAACCAAATGTACGTACCTGCAATAGAAGCCATTAGTTTCCCTATCAACACACTCGGACTTTTTCGGACAGTATCCGGGGTTTAACGAACAATTCCAAACACACTGCAGATAAGCCGACGTACATGTTAGTCCTTTAGGACACCCGTCAAAGTCACACATATCATCAACGCGAACATACGACCCTACACAAAATGTTTAAATACAGTATTAAAATCCATTAAAGAATGAACATGGAAATATTAATATGTAACACGTTATCAAATCATATTTTATTGTAGTTAGATTTTTAGCGCTTTATAATGTAGTCGCAAAGAAATGCGTGGATCTCGTACAATATCTTCCTTCTCCCCTATAAGGGTCAATTCGTGTCAGCTACTCTCGTCTGTCCACCATCACAAGGCTTTTTTTGAACCACTACACTGGGTAACCCCATAGTTCTACGTGTCTCAAAACTGAGTTGTTTTAGTGTACCTGAGCAAATTGTGTACATTTCGTTGGAAATTCAAATTTGTAGTAAAGCAACTAATCAATCTTTCACACACTTGAGTGCATGCTTATTTGAACAGCACTAGTTCAGCTAGTTAAAAGAATATAATATTATGTACAGTTTTAGCATTACCGCAATACAGTTAAGAGTTCTCTTAATTGATGTACCATGTGATGTATAATAAAATAATGCCAAACAGCGCTCATTGATTCGATATCATCTCTATATATTTTCTTGGTTGAAATTGATTTGATGGCTTCTACAATATCATGCGTGAACTGGGTTTTTCATCTCGGTCGGAGGTATTTTTTACGATTGCAGTAGTACCTGCTTGTTAACGCTTGAAATTAATTATATGTCGCAGCATTTCTTCAGGCACTTGTATCTTGTTTCATTTTAAGTACAATTATACTCGCCGAGACGGATATCACATATTGTATTGATTTTAATGCTTGCTCAAGACTTATACGATTATATTATGCTGAGGAAAATAAGTACAGGACTCCCTCCAATTAAAGACCACTTTAGAGACCATGGTTTTCGTGATCTTTAGCAGGATAAAGAGTCATCAACATTAAATTAAAAATCGGTCGAAACCATTCAGTTTCGCTGGTTTTACTGATTTTCTTTAACGTATTTTTGATTGGCTCTGAAGTATATTTTAAAACTGCCGCCATTGTCTACTGTTTTCACATAAGTGCGCTTGCCTCTGAACGCGCGTGTGTGGACGCTATAAAGCTGGTTCTCCGCTAGGCGAATTTATTTGCGCGAATCAAAGCGTCGATTCGCTTCCTGAGCTCTGATTAGTTGCGCATTTTTTCGCTTCGCAAAAAATTCGATAGGAATGTGAATGCGCATGCGCATGAAACGACGCTTTCGATTCGCGCGAATAAATTCGTCTAGTGGAAAACCGGCTTTAGACATGTTCAGACGGCCTTCACCCTGTTCAAATATACGCGCGTGATACTTCAGACGAGGCTCCACACGAGTACCCAGGGCATAATGTTCTTTTTAATAGACTGTCAAGGTGTGCGTAAGCACGGCAGAAAGGGAAATGTAAGAGTAAATTTCACTGATAAAAGTAAGTAAATAGTACACGGTACCTCGGGTGTTCTGTACGTACAGGTGGAAGACGTTCACTTGACCGAGGTAGCCGTCTATCTCAACCGCATTGTACATTGTTTTGATAACCTTTTTCTGATGTTCATAGTCAAGAGTAATAGTGTAACGCAGCTGCAAATACATCACCAGATCTTCTTGCCTGCATCAGAACAAACATATACGCCACGGTTCAGTGACTTTCATTTTTACTGAAATGCTCTCAACCAATTTGTAAATAGTGTATTCGTAGTTGATCATTATAAATATTAATTAATTAATTTATTTATTTATTCATCAAAACCTCCAAACAAAGAGAAGATAAAACATACCTTACATACATTAAAAATACATTTACTAAACTAATTAAATAAAATAATGATAAAAAAAAATAATAAGATTTGGAGAATGGAAAGCAGTTTTATTTTCAATATTTTTGTTTTTACCCCCCTCATTGCTTTTAGATCGTTTTAATACAATTACAAGATTTTAATTATTTTATCATCGTTATGCTCATCGTCGCTATTATCATCATCACCACCATCATTATTGATATTATCATTATCCTCGTCATCATCATCATATCATGATCAATATGATTATGATGATGATTATTATTGTATTATTAGCATCATCATTATTAAGCTTTATAATGTTCTTAATATATGACTATATATTTGTTAGTTTAAGTTTTATTGGTTTTATTTAATTAAACACTGGTGTGTCTGTATGGGTTAATAGAAAGCTGCGATGAAGAGGTCCTGAGCCTTTCTTATAATGCAAATTACAAATTGATACAAACAGCTTGATATACAACTGTCATAAAAACCGTAAAAATATCGTGCAAATTGTATGGGTGGACATTCACACACCACACACAAAATATGACATTTAAATCACAGGTTCATAAGTCCTATGATTTTGAAAAAACGGAAATGAGCTGAGTAAGTTCATCCGATTTAAGTTATACTTACGTACAAGCGATCACTGCGGCTGTCGAGAAAAACTGGTCACTGCCAAGTAACTCACCAATCTATAATAGAGAGAGTATATTGATGGAGATTGATTGATTTGCGATAATCGATGTTACCGGCCTTTGACAATGTCTTTGTGCAGTAAGATTATGAAAGTGATGAGAGTGCATCCAAGTGATGTTTAATGGAAACGGTGTAAGTGGATAAATATATTTTGGCGGGAAAAAAAAAGAAAAGAAACGTGTTCAAGTGTCCCCATCAGCCATTACGCTTCGGTTGCTCACGAACTATGATGCCAATTCGCGCGAATAAGCGCCCCGTTTTGAATAAGCGCCACTCTCGTATAACCGCCCCTCCGAACGTGAAAATGTCCTTAAGCGCCCCGTTTGAATAAGCGCCCCTTCTAATTTGAATAAGCACCCCCTCATAAGATTTTCTTTTTAGCAAGTCAATAATCCAATCAATCCTTGGACTGTGGTTGTTGGCATGATTTTAGCTGTAGAGTGGAAACACATTCTTCTTCAGTCAATATCAAAATAAGGATATTTCTCTTGGACAGATGAGAGCTCCGATCCCTGGACAGACAGTATATTTCCAACTTTAATCTTTCTACATATTTGTCTATGTCTAGTCCTACTTCCTCTTTCTCTTTTTTCGACCTTAAGCACATTCTCATCTGAGTTTTCAAAAAAATACAATGATCCTGCCATCCTGCTTATCTCAATCGGCCGATGGCAAACAAGCTAACCACTACCCACCACTAATTGCATCTGCTATTTTGCTGTTATGTAAATATTCACGCATTCTTGTTATGAGCCATGTTCTCTGGACGATCATCTTTTCTAACCACCATTCGTAATGTCCTTATATAATCTTTTTTCATTAAAAAAGTGTCTCTTGAATTTTTAATTATTAAAATAATTTCCCATAAGAACCCCTCGATTTTCATCTATTTCCATAAGCGCCCCCTCAATTTCCACTCTGTTTTCATAAGCGCCCTGTTTATATAAGCTCCCCGTTTGAATAAGCGCCCATCAGAAAGTGCAAACAATATTTTAAGCGCCCGGTCGCTTATTCGCGCGAGTACGGTACTCTCTTCCTAGCTAACAATTTTACACGACGTTGAAATTTGGTGTTCAACACGTTTTTCTGTATAACCGTAAATACTCCCCAATTTGAGTAATTGGGGAGTTCTCGCAAGCAAATACAAAAACGCGATTGATGCCTTTTGCATGAATCAATGATCATATTCAGCTCGTACAGCATCCTGTCAAGAATGTTTTAGCCACGAACGCCCGTGACGATGAAGATAATGACGTATTCGTTATCGTTTTCTTAAGGTTCGTTGCGAAATCTCCCTACGTGGCAAACGTTCTTGCAACATTGTTAACGTTATTTTTGACATAAACCTACAGTATCCACAAGGTTTACAACATTCCCGAATATTGAAATAACGAGTTGTGTTCGCTGTGTTGGGTATTTCCTGGACACGTTGTTCTAGAGGTACCGGTATTGCACAATATGCAACTCATACGATATGAAACTGGTAGAGGTTCTCCATACCATGTTTAATATCATGTGATTTAAACACCATCATATAGATTTCTTTGTATATTTAACTATAGGCGTACGCTTCTCTGTAGACGTGCTTATGATATACTGAAGGGCACGTAAGTTAATACACATTCTAATGTACATAGAGATTTTAAATATATTCAGAGGTTTAGATGTCGCTAAACAAATAGAATAAAGCGTTATACACATATACGATATTAATAGACCCTTCTGGAGTGTCAATCATTCTCACAACTGGCCAACCAGAACATTACGTGCTTGTCCCCCAAAACGTACGTTTACGCTGTCGGTTTGTGGACCTTCTATCTAAGAGGCGGGGCTTAGCGAAAAGGATCATTATTATTATTATTTTTTTAATGACCCGTTGTCCACATACGATACGAATAGATCGTTTCGTAAGCCCTGTCCCTTGGGCGGGTATTGTTGCTAAGATCCCACAAAAATGACAGTGTTAAAACATAGGCAAACACGTGCGTTTTGGGGACAACACGTGTGCTTGTTAGACACGCGCGTATTCATGGCCCCCTGTTCTGATTGGTCAATCGTTAAGTTTGATTGGCACTCCAGAAATGTCCGTTGAGCATCGGGGCTCAAATGTATATTACCTGCAGTAGAACTTTATCCTGCAATGCCTTTAGATCAAGGCCAGAGATGGGCCTAACCGAGAAGTGTAGGTTCATGTAATCCTGCTCGACCTCTGTAAATAATGCCAAAAAAGATGTTTAACAGTGTTTCTGGCCAGCTGTCAACATATATGAATTTCAATAACAGCTATAGAGATTATCGGCCTAATGGTACAGTGATTTCAATATTAAAATATACTACTATTATATGCACTATTACAAATTTTTATACTATTTAAATTATTATACCGTAAACCTCGAATTTGAAGCCCAGGGCTTCCCCCCCCCCCCCCAATATTGGCTTTTTTACGAGACTAATTTTGCAAAGTAAAGAGGGGGATTCTTTTTCAAAATGAATGCTGTAAATTTTGGGGAATTTTTACTATTAAACAATATAAGGCCATGTGTAACATCAGTCTGTATCATCGAGTGTATTAACTGGCATTAAATCACCTAAACTGCTGTATAAACCAAGCTTGTTTTTTATTTAGTTTATTTGTTTTTTAATTAATGTACAGTGTATGTACTGTGCTATTTCGAAAAGAATCCTGTGGTATCTTTTCGAGGCTAATTTTGCAAACTAAAGAAGGGACTTCAATTCGAGATGAGCTTCTTCTCGAGATTAAGCCCATTGGGCTTCTATCTGACGTAGACCGAATGTTGATATTTGACGTCGATCAACCTTTCAAATCCAACGTTTTTTTTAATACTGCATTTGTTGCTGTCTCTTATACACATCTAGATGTGTATAAGAGACAGATTATAATACTGTACTAACCCGAAAATAATGAAATGTTTTCGTTGGCTACGATAGGTTCTATGTAAGATGAAGACCACGAATCTATCTCCTCAATTAAAGAGAGTGGTACAGTTACTACTGATGAAGATTCCGTATCGCTGAAATTTTCATCAATTGTTGATGGCTCTGAAAAACATAATTAATGATATTAAAAAATCTCAATCGTTCGTCCAAATCTCACTTTTCTATTGTACTAAGAAATGTGTTTCTCATGTGTACTATAAAAACGATTTCCCTCCCCCTCCCCCACATTTTGGAAAAAAGAAGAGAAAAAAATGGAAAGAAAGAAAAAAAATTGATCACCCAAAACGCCTCAGAGGTTATTTTCGGGAATCTAGAACACAAATTTCTCTGGCCATGCCCCCGCACCCCCTAAGGTAGTATTACCTCGATCTGGCCCACTTTCTACCCCCTTTACCCCCTCCCCTTATGATATCTCTGGATCCGCCCCTGATTTTTAGTACCACGCTTTCTTTATTCGTGGTTTCATGACGAAGATAACTTGTATTTTTTCAGCCAGGGTGTTTCAAAAACGACATCGCCTTTGCTGGAGCAAAGTACCTTATGTGCGCTTGATAGAAAGGTGGGATAGGTCATACTCCGACAACTGCTAATTATATAAAAAAAATTAGAGAATAAAAGGGTTTTAAAGTTTATGAAAGAATAATCAGATAGATAATGACCAATGACATTAGTGGTGTTTATAGATGCTAAAAAAAATTAATTGAAAGAGGATGTATAAGTCTCATATTAATATAAAGTGCCCTCTATTGGAGGGGATACACGTTATACTTTTCTTGTAAATTAACAGGTAAATTAGCGTAATTTTTTTAAATTTACAATTACCCCAAACAAGGCTAATGAAACCACTCAAGGTAAGGGGTTACTTATTTAAAAGGAACCGGTTTAAAAGAGATTCCTCGGAACAGTGATGGTGAACAAGACGATAGAGTAAACTTTAACAGGCTACATTACGACGATGTGACAGTGGCTTTAATTGGGAGCCAAGCTCAGGACCAATGTGCTTTACCACACGTTGCTGGATCTTGTCGAGAAGAGAAATATAACGTTTTTTGGCCCCAACCAAGATGACAACAGGTAGACCCTTGTCATATTCATCTAGCTAATAGGAAAAATATATTTTCCTTGAACCTGTGTCTCTTTGGACGTTTAAATCAAATTTGAAATTTTGAGGGTTTTGTTTTCTTGATTTGTTCATAGCGGTTTTTTTTTTAAATAATTGTTTTCACGATTGTTTAGCTATAGGCTCATCATATGATTTAATAATAAATGTATTACTGTATCATGGTTAATTGCATACCGTACATTAATGGAAAGTATACTATGTTTTTAATATTATCTTATAATTAACATTATGATAAAATTATTACTGAAGCCCTGTTAGAAGTAGGCCTAAATACAAAATCCAATACGGTGCATTATAATTGTGACTGATTTCTTGGTAATTTTACAAGATTCTATTAAAATTCCAGAATTCCCAGAAATCTTCAAAATTGTACATTGGTAAGCTCTATTTCAAGTTTGAAATTATAAGATGCTTCTTGATATCTGTATAATATTACAGGGCCCTAATCGTTATGTAATAAACGCAATTAATTATCAAAAAGGTTCCATTTTCAACTTTTATATTTTTTTGTATTCAAAATATCATTGAATGATGACATTTATCTTAGCACGTTTTGAATAGTCCAACAATATTTTATACTATGGATCCAAAGTCTAGATGACATATTTTCTATGTATTACGGTATTTTGTGCTTCTAAATAAATTTTATTGAAACTGCAGAATAAGGTAATATTTGTTTATATTTCTGGCTTTGTTGATACATGACGTTGACCTAACATCGTTGATTTTGCAAACATTTTATCCAAAAATTTAAGGCTGTATCGACGTTGATGAACGACGTTGTTTCAACGTTAATACCTGACGTCGGTCCAGCATTTGTGTCGATATGGTGATATTTTTACGTCTATGTCTAACCATGATCTAACGTCATTCCAACGTTGTTACTCGACTTCGGTCCAGCATTGATATCCAACGTTGATTGAACGTTGTTACTGGACGTCATATACATTGATATCAACGTTAATATTTGATCTTTCAAATACAGCGTGTATCCACTCCCTTTTTCAGTGGACGACGATATTTGTCGTAGATTGTACGTTGACGTTTGACGTCAATCGGTCCATCTTTCAGTTCCAACGTGTATTCAACTGTTTGTTGACGTCGATGTTTTGACGTTTTTTCAATGCTGATATCTGACGTAGACCGAATGTTGATATTTGACGTCGATCAACCTTTCAAATCCAACGTTTTTTTTAATACTGCATTTGTTGAGGTTGATGTGACGTACGTCGTTTCAACGCTGAGATCTGACGTCGATCAAGCGTTGACGTCCATCTATACCTTTCACATCCAGCGTTTATCCAACCTCTTTCCAATGTCGATGCTTGACGTTTTTGTAACGATGATTCGACGCAAAAATATCTGCTGTTATTGTGGACAAGGTAGACCACCATGTCACATAATGTCATTATGCTAACACGGTACTGTTTGTATACTGACGACGGAAAATTAAATTTAAGCATTTTTTTACAATATCTTGTATGAACTCGTTGCTTAGAGAGTATTAAGTATCATATAAGGACAATTATGCGATTGCTGTTTCATTAACACCTACTGTGCAGTGACGTCACCCCTCATCAGCACGGGTCATTCACCTAATGAGGAAATTTGTTCAGTTCTTTACTGTTTTTCGCCTTTGAGTCTAGGCCTATTGGATGTAATAATGCCGTAAATAACCAAACTCGACACTATTGCAAGAAAATTCGTCGCAGCGTACTTATTATTTCTAAAAACAGGCTACCGGCATTTCAGTGAAATCTATCTCCACCGCCGCCGGGCTTCGTCTCAACTAACGTGCATATATCTTCAGATATTTCCTGTCGTAGACAATGAATATATAGTATCCTTGGCGTAGGCTACACAGCCGGAGAGCGTTGACAGAAATTTGCCCTCAACGATTTGCAAAAACGTAGTGTTATTACATTATTATAATAGTATATAGGCTACCTGTCAAAACAATCCGTGAAACTTTCCTCACAGTGATTCCACTTACCACTATGCAGCAGCCGACTCACAGGAGTGGTCAAATGTACTTGTTTCGCGTCTTTATGTTTTTGGCAGGACGATAATGAAGACGTATGAAATGAGAGGGATTGATTTCATTTATTCTCATTTGTACGTGTCATTTAGGCCATTTTTGGCTACCAGACCGACGTAAACATTTAGTGCATGTTATGAAAACAATACTAAGAAGTTAACATGTTTTGCAAAGTAGCCCCGTGGCGCCAGTATTATGCTGGTTAGCCACGAGCGCCCATCGTTAATTGACGTACGTGGTTATGGTTCTATCTTAATTGAATCAACTTCCACGGAGAGAATTGAGAAATGGTAATTATTTTAATTAGTCTAAGGGGTTCTAGGCAATAGAGGCCTATATAATTATACTTATAGGCCAATTCAGCACAATGACGCGGCTAGTTATGGGTTATTCTCCTTACTTTTACCTTACCTTTACCATAACATATCCATACATCCAGCATACTTATATACATGCTGTGCAATCGATTACCATAAAAATATAGTTTATAACACGAGTTTTGTTTGAAAATCGATATACGGCCCTATGAATCTACCAGTAACGCTGTAAAAATAATAAAAATGCCTATATAAACATGAGAACGTTAAAGACGACTTTGTAGTGAAAGTACAATCGAGATACTTCATCATTGCATAATATGTTATGTCTGTATTCCATGGCAATATCGTGTTTTGTTTTTAAGATCAACATAAATTCACATCCTGAATGTAATCAACTAGAAGAAATTGCTGTGAAATTGACGCCTTGCGCACACTATCGTACGCCAGTTACTATCGATTGTCCCTTCCAAACACCTTTCTTATAAACAAGTTTTGAAGGACAATTATGAACAGATAATAGTTAGGTCAGTGTGTATCCCGAGGGGATCTGTAACAGACTCGTTGGGGGCCTAGGTTTTCATAGAGTACTCTTAAACTATCGTTTAAACGTTTGTGTTTGATATCATAATATCACTCGATTCAGCTCCAAAGTTCATTAGAATTGCATTCAATATTTGGTGCTTATTATAGCCTTAGCAATCCTTGATAATGTTGAGGTTTTGCCTACGCTTACGTATTATGTATTATCTCCAAAATCTTTCATGATAATATAATACGATATACGACAAAATTCGCAAGCAAAATTACACATGATGAACACTAATTTAGTTAATAATAATAATATTAATAATGATGATAATTATAATGATAAAATTAAAATATATACAGATATAGGCCCATCGTCGAAAAGAATATGCCAATGCTGCATACTAACTTAAAGGCGATACCTGAAAATGGAATTGTAGTTGTCAGGATTGTGCTCGCCCTCCGGTCTCAAAGTCATGGTTCAATCATTGGACCGATCACCCTCGTTAATATATGATGTATATTAGTGGTTGGGGATGAGGAGCTAGGCCTCAGATCATGATTATTGGATATCTTATGGGCCTAGTCTGTCAAAATTAAGCCTTATAGCTGAGTGACACACAACTATAGAAGAGGGCAACAATTGAACTGATGTACAGCTAATAATGAGAGATAAATTGTGTAAAGGCCCGGCTGTTTGTGGCAGATCTAAATCGGGTAGACTGAAGCACTGTCCAAACACTATCACATTTTTTTTATTTGTCACATAAAAATTGTTAGTTTGTTCAAAGCTTTGAACACACTTAACATAGGATTTTCCAAGTCTCGATTTCATATTATCATAATCTTTATTATCATCCTCAGCACCAACTTCATCATCCTCATCATCATTAGCAGCAGCATAATCATTATGATCATCATCATCTCATAATCATCGTCTGGCATCATCATCATCATCATCATCATCATCTCATAATCATCATTTGGCATCATCATGAAAATTATCATCCTTTTCTTGCTCTTGCATTATCATCAAATCATCATCATCATCACTTCTCCATCTTCATCACATCATCAGTTATTGCGTAGTATGTCATGTGAAAAGGTGAATTGCAAAAGGGAAAAAAAACTTATTGAATGGTACATCTACATAAATTGAAATCAGTTAATGCGTTCGCAAGACCATGCAAGATTTCAAATTTTTATACCTAAATCCAGATTACTTACCTCCAGCTGCCAGGCCCAGCAGGCATAGCCCTAGTAAAACCGCTATAAGGTAGTTCAATTTCTTCATGGTTCGTGCGCTTTTCGAAGACTGGTATCTGACGGGCAGAATGACCTCCGTCCGTAACATATTCTGTCGACACAGTTGTGTCAAATACTATCACTCGAAACTTGTATCTACGAAGCCGGCTTCGTAAAAGTCGCCACTCATGAAAATTTTGCTATTTTTGCGAAAGACTCCAATTTTGACAACATTCATTCTGACAGTGGGACTGATCGAATTTGATGCATAAGTCTGCTAAAGCACTCGACTGCTTGGCGTACTCCTTTCTGCGCAGGCGCGGCGCTGGTTTAACGAGCATTCAATAGGACCGCTGGGAAATGAAAATGACATATCTGTTACTCGTAAATCATAACGTATTTATGCCTTACAAAATCACTCGATAGAACAGAAACACGCCCAAATCGGGACATGATAACAATATGTTTATTTCGCTAATATACTGCACTTTGAATTCGGTTTATTTAACTCTGATGATTAGGCCAATAATTTATAATAACATTCTCGGTTTTTATAATAGAAGACGTAATCGTTAATCGTCTATTAGTCAATCGAAGGAAGACCTTTATAAAAAGTAATCCCCATATCCCAATAGGAAATGAGACAATATCGTTATATACAATGGGCCCATGCAATCATACACAATTTGATATAAAAAAAAAATAATGGTATAATAATTATGTTAGACTTAAATGGCCCAAACTGTTCTGTTTCAGCGCAATTGAAAACAATGAAAACATGACCTGGATAAACAATTGTGAAACTAACTCATGACCACTTAAGCCGGGCACTCACTGCGGCGTACGACGGTCGTATGACCGGCGTATGACGCATCCAACTCCAGTCCAGGGGCGGATCCAGTGTGTGGGGAGGAGGGGCTCGGAGGCCCGTGCCTCCTACATTTGTCAAAATGTTTAAAAATGGAGATAAAATATTCAAATTTTGAGTCTGAATGAGTGCGATTTCCTGGCATTTAGAGGTGCCATAATCATAAGTATATATCTGTCTCTTATACACATCTAGATGTGTATAAGAGACAGCGTTAGTCCCGCCGAATATATTAAAAAAGGCAGAAAAAATTGGGAAGAGTTAAAGGGAGAAAAGAGGGGAAAAAGGAAGTGTACCTATAAGTTTAGTGGCGGATCCAGCAGTGGGTGAAAGGAGAGCTCGATTATTTTACCACTCCCTAATCTTGAATTTTAAATCGATTGACGACGAACATAACGCTATGTCCCCGACGTCGATTTTTCCAACGATTTCATAAATCAGGATGTAAACAAGGCCAAAAGACGGTCCAGTGACCTAAGACGGAGTTTTTTTTTTTTTTAGCCATTATTACGGAATGTAATACCCAGATACAACAGCTATCTATGCTCAGTGGTGTAACGCTATATGCGCTCTGTGCGGCGGCCACCAACCCTTAAGGGGCCCCTTTGGTGCCCCTACCCATAAGGTCATCTTTTATAGCACCCTGATCCAAAAGGGCTTATTTCATACATAGCAGCATAATGTGTCCCTGACATCGACTGGTAGGATATCATATTGATCCAGTGGCGGTGGGGTGCCCAGCCGGCCAGGACCTCCTACATTTGTCAAAATGTTTAAAAATGGAGATAAAATATTCAAATTTTGAGTCTGAATGAGTGCGATTTCCTGGCATTTAGAGGTGCCATAATCATAATTCAGTATAGAATAGACTCTAGGTTCTTGGTTAGACCCTTTTAACGCCCATGAGGTGAGCGTGTCGAGAGGAAGTCAAAAGTTTTGTCGAGGAACACTGCTTTGAAAATGCATTTTTACCATCTGAGAGTGCCATTTAAGAGCGTCTAGAGGGGCCTATTCTTAACATTTGCTCACCTCAGCCGCAACCATGGGCTGAGGTATGTGTGAACTACCTATTC